GGCTGGGCCGCGAGCCGCTGCTGCGCTTCGCGTGCGGCGCCGGCGGGCGGCTGCGCATGGGCGCGCTGCTGAGCCGGCAGGGCTGCCAGGCGCGGCTGCGCAGCGCCGAGGGCATGAGCCTCGCCGAGTTCCTGTACCCGGCGCTGCAGGCCTACGACTTCCTGCACCTGCGCCGCCGCCACGGCTGCCGCCTGCAGATCGGCGGCGCCGACCAGATGGGCAACATCATGTCCGGCTACGAGCTCGTGAGCAGGTAGCGCGCGGCGCCCCGGGGCTGTCCCCCGTTAGCCTCTAACGGTTCTTGATCAAACAGCGCGTTTCCTGGCCGCAGGAGCGTTCCCTAATCACATCTAACTACCCACTGCATCCCGAGTGCGCCTGCGTGGTGTGGATTGTGCTTGCGGCTCTGCTCTCGGAGAGGAAGCGGGACCTGCTTCGATGGGGCCCGGGCTGAGTGTGTGGGAGTCCAGGGAATTCACGGAAGGAAGGAAACCAAGGGGAGGCGAGCGCAAGGCAACCACCAAACCCTTGCGGTTGGAAAAGAGCTTCGGGGCCATCGAGTCCAACCGTAAACCCATGACCACGGTGTCCCTGATGGTGTCCCTGATGGTGTCCCTGATGGTGTCCCTGATGGTGTCCCTGATGGTGGCCCTGATGGTGGCCCTGATGGTGGCCCTGATGGTGTCCCTAGGCCGTGTCCCTAAGCGCCTCCTCATCTACACGTTTCTTGAACAGTGGCAGGGACGGTGACTCCTCCACCTCCCTGGGCAGCCTGCTCCAGGGCTGCACCGCTCTCGCCATATAGAAATTCTTCCTAAAGTCTAACCTGAACCTCCCCTGGTGCAGCTTGAGGCCATCTCCCCTTGTCCTATTTTCAGTAGTTCTTCTGGAGATCGAGCCCCGCCTCACTACAACCATTCCCCATAAGGTCTGTGCTCCAAAGCTATGCTCCTTTGCCAGCTTCCTTACCCTTCTTTGGACATGCTGCAGCACCTCCACGTCCTTCCTGTAGTGAGGGGCCCAAACCCGAACACGGTGCTTCTGCTTCGCTTGCTGCTTTCAGGATGTTAGAGAACCGGCTTGGGAGAAAATCATTGAACCGTCCCAAGCACGGCACGCAGGCAGCATCAGATGCCTGAGCCCAGGAAGGAAGGACACAGGACGCTTGACTCTGCTGGTGCTTGGGAAATTACTGTTTTAAAATACTTGTTTATGCCTCCTCATTGCGCACAAAAGAGCTTTTAACTGCATTTTTTTTTCTTAAAGCCCCCTGCCCAAGACACTGCTTTCATTTATTTATTCATTTTTTGCTAGTATATAAAGCAAATGCTTCTGTAAAGGGAAGAGGAATCTCAGAGAATGCCTAAGTTTTATTTGAGTTTACCAAAACATACACGTGTAAGTAAATAAATAAATGTGTTCCCTCTTCTTAGGGAGACAGGAGAAGATGTGTTTGGAATCACTGTGCCTCTTATTACGAGCACCACTGGAGACAAACTGGGAAAGACTGCTGGTAACGCAGTGTGGCTGAACAGAGATAAGACTTCTCCATTCGAGCTGTATCAGTTTTTTGTCAGACAGCAAGATAGCATAGTTGAGAAGTGAGTAGTTGCTCTTCGGCTCGCCTTTTGTCATCGCTTGTGACCCTGTCCCATGTAACTGTTTCACATAGCTGCAACATAAGGTTATCTTAAGTGTTAGCATTTCCAACAGCAGAATGCAGAAGTGAATGTTAACAGTAATTATATTTAACATTCTCGCTAAACAAGCGTTACTGGCTCAGGAATACACAGGATAGTAGAAGTTGTGTTCATGATGGAATATGCATTGTAAAAGTCAGTATTCAAGTATGAGTAAAGCATAAGAAATTCTAATCTGCCAGTTGAATGACTGAAAGCTTCTATGCTAGTGATAAACAAACACACAAAGTTCAGCATCTGGAACTGCTTCGTATTATGTGCTCCACCAAAAGAGCCTTGTGAGAGAATGATTATGGAATAGGAAAAAACTATGAAGCTCAAGCTTCTGATTGTTTCTAAGTGTGTAGAAAAAGAATATACATAGGAGACAAGTATCCCATGTAGCAGCACAATTTTAAAGTGGGGAAAAATGATAAAAATGTTTTCATATTTTTGGACTTCAGTAGTAGAGCTACTCCTTTTAATAAACTGCATTAATGACAGCACACTGCTGCAAGCCTACAGAAGTGGGATTTGTAAAGGGTATGCTTAGGTTGTGCACATCTAAATTCCTGGTCATTTTGAGTAATCTTCCTGTTGAGATCTCAGTCATTATGTGGGGTGCTTTTGTGCCATGGTCACCATACAACAGCAGTGCTACTGGGCTTTATCGTACTTTATTAAATACAAAGATCTATATAATAGAGGTTCATAATAATAAAGAATTGAATTTATAGACACACATTTGCAATAGGACCTGTAAAGTTAACATTTCATGGGAAAAGCAAGCTCTTGATTGCATTCTGCATTATTTTCCAAGACATTGTGCTCCAGGGAATATTAAATTAGCAAGAAAAGCCCACAAATTAACATGTTAAGTATGCGGGCAGGAACAAAGAGTTGTTGGAAAGGGTGAAATCTCTAGTACAGATTTGATGAAGTGCTCAGGAATCATTTCAGTGGTGTTAATGAAGTTTGAATGGCGATGAAAGCCAGGGTGTAGACCTATAGAGCCAGGCACGACAGCTGTATAGACAAAAACATTTCTTCCCTGCTTGTAGATACCTGAAACTCTTCACCTTCCTTCCCCTTGAAGAGATTCGCCACATCATGGAGATGCATGCTAAAGAACCCGAGAAGTGGGGCCCTCAGAAGCGACTCGCTGCAGAAGTAACTAAGCTTGTGCACGGCAGAGAAGGGCTGGAATCAGCTAAGAGGTGAAGCTGGATTTTTGTCAAGTGGTTTTCCTTCAGATTTGTTTGATAGTAGTTATCGTGGCTTTTCTGGGGCTGCTTTCATGAAGCTAATCAGTGCTCAGCTCTTGCAAGAGAAGAATGTAATAATTCCATAGGCCGAAAGGAAAATATATTAAAGAGCAAAATTTGCATATGATAAAAGATCCACCGGGGGATATATGCAATTCCTAAGTGCCCCTGGCAGAGAGGGGGATCACTTGTTTCATCGGACGAGTTGAACTGCATTTTGTGGGACAATGAACCTGGAACTGTATTGTGCACGATCACAACTTTTTGCTTTCACAGGTGTACTAAAGCCCTGTATCACAGCAGCGTGGAGGCCTTAGAAGCCATGTCTGACCAGGAGCTACAGGAGCTCTTTAAACAAACGCCTTCTGCTGAACTGTTGCTTGAGCCCGGCACGAGCGTGCTCGACCTGTGTCGCAAGGCAAACGCCATTCCAGCCGGACCCAGCGGGTGCGTCATGGGCTCTGCTTTTTACTCATACTTGGCCTAGGTGGGAGGCATCAGAAATTAAACAACAACCACAAAAAACAGAGGCAAATTGGCTAACAACATTAAAGAAGAGGGGGCAATAGACCTCATTTCACTCTGAAGTGGAAGTGTAGGAGACAGGAGTCTCTTGTACCTCAGTTGTGTAATCTACAGTTGAGGAAGGTACAGCCAGTAATAGCATTAAATTTCCTTATGTGCTCTGCCTCACAGAAGAAAGGGCAGTGGCAAAGGCTAAGGTTGATTCCAGTCACTTTTCACATGGACTGAGTTTAGATCTAACAAAAAAAGCTTCTGAAATAACTCTTGACTTTGGCTACTTTGCAGCAGTAAGTAGTTTGCTCTTAAAGTTGCTTTTGTTTTTTGCTCTTTTTTAAGGTACCAGAAAATCACAGACGGTGGAGTTTCAATAAATGGGATTCGAGAAACTAATCCTGAGGCCGTTCTTGTTGTGGGACAGCATATTCTCAAGAACGGAGTATCACTGCTTAGGATTGGAAAGAAAAATTACTACATTATAAAGTGGCTGCAGTTGTGACTACAGGTTCTCCCTGTAAAATAAGGTATCGTTTAGGCTCTGTTGTCTGCAGATGTTTCTGTACAGTGTACATTACTGTACAGCTCACAAAAACTGCCTTGGGAAAAACTACCCCAGGGTAGTTTTTCTTAAAATGCCAGAAACAAAATAGACTGAAAGGGTTCAAATAAAGGCAGCTGAGATCCCTAAGATGAATGACTTCATGTTTTATCTGTGACAGTGAGTAAATTATAAGACGCGATAAATACTGAATCAGAAAACAACAAATAGAAATTCTTAACAGATCTCTTTTTCTTCATCTGCTGCACCTCATATTCCTTTAGGAAAGATCGTATTTCATTCACGGAGCCCTCAAAGTGCAAACACCAGGAAAAAGCAGCGCAATCTACGTTATGGACTTGCATTTGGCTTTTTCAGCTCCTATTAGAATTCATATTTAAACAAACAGTTGGGTGGTGTTTGTTTGACTGGCACCATTTAAAGTTAATCTGTGGGCTTTGATGACTGTAGCTGTTATCTGTGCCATGTAGTCAGGCTTGAGTGACAGTTTTGTCCTGTCCACTAGGAAACAGGAATGTATGGAAACATCAAAAACACCAAAAAGGAGCAGCTGGAATTGCCGTGGGACCAGGCACGCCTGAACTGCAGGACTGGAATGCTGTCATGTGCAAATCTTGGATCTTTTTATCTTGTATAAAGTTATGCCACAGAAGAGACTCTTTAAGTTCTCTGTTATTCAAAGCACTATTTATAAGAAGATATGCACAAGAAAACAAAAAGATTAGTTTTAGAGTCAAAGAGGGAGACTTTCTTCTCCTCCTTAAAATCTCTGTTTTGAGGCAATAAAAAGAGTGACCTGCCCCAAGTGCATAATGCACAGTGAGCTGAGCAAAAGCATCTTGGAAACCAGTATGTCTTAGAGGGTTTGCTGCTGTCCACGTGGACTTCATCCTCACAGAGAAACCTGCCTCAGGGGGCAAGGTCAGACTCCCTGAACTCAACATATCTTTGAACAGGGTTGGTCTAAAGCAAGCTCAGAAAGATGAGCAGTAGAGGAAGAGACTGGCTAAGCCCCAGCATGAGAGTTTCTTATTGGTCACGTATGGGACATGGTGCATAAAAGCTTTCTAACTTAATACTGTATAATTTTGCTGTATGTAAGAGGAAAAAATGAATGTAAATCCACAGGAAAGTTAAAAGCAGCCTTATGAATGCATGTGTGTTGTGTGGTGATTTAAACCCTGGTATCATTTGTTCTGTTCCTTTAGCCCTGTGAATTACACAGATGCATCTGTGCTAAAAAGCAGAGCTGCATGCTTACACTCCTGAAGGCACCTAAGCATGAAATACAGTACAGGGTCCTTTCAAGTTGTTCTCTTCCTCTGTTAAGTCTTAAGCTGGGGTTGGGTGGCTTAGACAGGCCGGCCTTCGAGCCAGGTCGTCTCGACGCCACACACTCCCGTCCCTGCGGTTACCCAGACCCGTTTTGCGCACAGGCCTCTGCTCAAATTCCTTGCACGGGAGGTGGTTAAAGGAGCACCCAGGACCCGCGCAGTGAGGGAGCTGCAGCAGAGCGGCCCCAGGGTTTCTTTGTGGGGCCTCCCTGCCCCAGCACAAACAGGGGTGAAAGAGGCTGACTTACAAGGGCGCTGCTTGGGTCCTGGCTGCAGTGCTGGCTTCAAGGTTTAAGGTCATCTTCACTCTTCAGAGGCCAACACGAACCTCATCCCTCTCTCGTGATGTTAGAATTAGTCATATTTGAGCTGGATTAAAACCCAAGTAGGAGAAGAAAGGAAAAGTTAGCAACTATCAGAAACCCGATACTCCAAAGTTAGAGGGAGTTGCTTTTGGAGTTTGTTGGGTTTTGCCTTTTTTACTCTCAATAAAGCCAACGTCAGGTTATCTGTGCTGTCCTTGAAGATTTCAATGGAAATAAATTTATAGTAGCTTCTTCTGTATCAATTTTTTCAGATTATTAAAATGTAGTATGACAGTGAGCTAACGGTATTAATTTCAGTCTCTAGCTTTATTTACCTGCTTGAAGAGTGAGCTATGGAAATCTTCCCTGTTGATTTTTTTTCTAAAATAGATGAAGTACTTGAGTCATCCTTACCTTAAAAAAAAAAAGTTAATAAAAATAAAGCCCTACCTCTCTTTTCAGGTCTCCAATCAGTCATTCTTACATGAGGCAGCACCTTAAGGCAAAGCAACAATCAGAGCTTTCCTAGAGAAAGTGGAGAGAGAGAAATCCTGAAACTACACAAGCCTGAAGTATAGTGCAGGGCTGCTTCAAGTTGTTCCCTTCCTCTGACGACCCTCAATAGAAGGGTGGAAGTTAAGAAATGTTTCACCAGAAGTGTGTCGACTTCAAAGATTTAGAAACCTTGCTCCTTCCGTGATGAGAAGCATTAAGGCAGCACAGAAACAGGCCAAGGGAGTACGTACCTGGGCACCTTATTTCTCATGTCTCATCACTCCTGCCTTTTTCATCTGCAAATCGTGCTGAACAGCACATACCCACAAAACATACACATTAAGTTTTGGTAAAGCATTTACTACCCATTTCAATAGAGTATTAAAAGGATTTTATTTTTTTTTTACAAATACACAAAATAAAAAGGGAATAAATTCTTTATATACAAGAATTTTAATAAGATTCAACTGTAAGAAATTTACTCTGTGCCTCCTTCTGACCAAACCTTTACCTCTTTCTAAGGAAAAAGCTGAATACAACCACTGTTTTTCAGGGACAGGCCATTAGCCAGCTCTAGAGCATGACAGGCCCGAGTGGTAAAGGTCAGGCCAGAATTGAGGATGACCAAAAATCTGGTTTTCTTTCTTGGGTTCCTCTTAGTGCTCATATACCCCCAACACAGCTCTGCTCAAGTGAACAGTGAAAGACAGAATCCATTTCAAATGTGGACAGAACTTAATATCAGTATTTCAAGTGGTTACAAATGTGTGAGTTAGAAGTGCAAAAAAAAAAAAAAAAAAATGGGGCCAGGGTTGTGTTTTTCTTTAAAAAGCCAAACCACAGAACCCCCACACGTTTGTACACTGCCTGAAGAGGCTGCAAAGCAGAGTACCTGAACACGAGGCAAGGTAGCCAGCAGCAGCAGCAGCAGCTTTTCCGCAGCGCTTCACTCCATAAAGCGTTCGCAAGGAAGAGGTAAAGGGGCAGCGGGCAGGCAGCAAGGTGAAAGCAAGCTGTCCAAGCACAAAAACATCTTCACTAGTTTAAAGTGCAGCTACTTCGGCATAAAACTACACAGTCGGCTCGTCTACCTTGCTTTAACACTGAAGTACCTCCTCAGCTGACTCCCTTCGAAGCCAAGGAAGGCTTTTGACTGCTACAAGATAAAAGCAGACGCATCTGAGAGCTTGAGTCTGTCCTGCCAGTGCCAGCAGTTGCTCCCCTGGCCGCAGAGGTGACATTCAAGCTACCAGCAGGGCTGCAGCAGACGGATTAAGTTCTTCCCTCTCGCTGTACTGCCCCAAGCAGAGACTTCACCTTGCAGGGCATCTCATCGAGCACCTCTCAAAGCCAGTCCTCCACAAAATATACAGGAAAAGCACCTTTTACTTTCCTTTTGCTGCAGCTGCTGAGCAATACAATCTTTGACACTTCCTAAACCTCATCTCTTACTCCACTGTAAGAGTGAGATTTGGAACAGACTGCTTAACTCACCCCAGCAACTTAGTGGCAAGCTATGTTCAAGCACTTAATACTACCTTTTATTTACAGGCATACCACACATACATCAGGTAAACATCAAACTTTGGCTACAGAGGTTATTCTACCCTGTGGTTGTATTGCCTTGGATCATGATACTTTCTCTTCAAGTCTGCTGAAAGTTACTCATGGGTGACAAAAAGCCCAGGTTTAAGTTAATCAAGGAGGACAAGACAAGAGTTGTAAGCAAGTCAGTCTACCAGGAGTTCTCAGCTGTTGTCTTCATTACCTTTTTTCCCAAAGTTCTCCTATTATTTCTTCTAATGCTGGCAGCCACAAAACCATTCCAAGTATTTCAGTCCAATTCCAGACAACACATCATTTAAAAACCAGTAGCCCCAATAGCCTGTCTGTATCATTTCTTATGCTACAAGAATGGGGCAGAATCATTGGGGCAAGGGCAAACATAAGGCTCTCAAAATTTAGTTAATCATATAAAAACCTGTAGGAGTGCAGACTCCTGTCATCTGAACTACAAGTCATTCCAAAACTCTTTTCCTGGGATAATTAATTTCGCATACTACATTTTTATTAAAGGATTGTTACAGCATGGATTTTTAAATATTTGCATTGAAGATGACAATCAATTCATTTCTTGGCACTTGCACATTATCAAATTTAAAATTCTGGTGAAACAGAAAACAAGTAATGTTTCAAAAAACAAAGTAACACTTCAGAAATTTCACATGACATTATGCCACCAGCTATAACTTGCAAGAGTTCCTTAAATGCATGGAAGTCATTTGCTTTATGGAGAAGCATTTTGTAACTTTACAAGTTGGTGTTTCCCTGGACAGCACTGCCGAGTGACATGTGAGCGCTAAATCCTTTGGGAGCCGTCCACTCTGTGGAGGTTCTGCCTTCCTAAAAACACTTCCCAGATGGCAGGTGGATTCCAACTAGAAATTTTGTGTCTTTGACCACAGGACTGTCAACTTCAGCTGTTCATCAGACGGGATTTGAAAGGTGGCTTGCACTGCTAGACCTTGTAACAGTCACATTTCCTAAATCTGGGAAGGAAATGCACCCAGACAAGGTGCAAGCACTTAACATCTTTTCTGTTACAGTCATTACATATACTTCACATCTCATGAATTTAATTTAGACTTTTTTTATTAAACATACAGAATACAGTTGTCTTGCATAAGTTATTTCAAATAATTCATAAAACAACCCAAAACTGCATCTGTCAGAGAACTCTAGGTGCATACACTGGTGCCAAACTGCCAAGACAAAGAAAAATGGACTTTTAAATTTTCCATCTTTAGCAGCTTAGAAAAGGCATCCCATTCTGTTAATTGTGAAACGGAAAGAAATTCAATGTGGGAATAAAAACCTCCCTCTACTGGCCTGATTTTCTAACAGCAAGCCATGGATGCCAACAGCAGCGTCTTATGTTTCGTGCAAGTTGTGTTAAAGACGAGACATCGGCAACATCGTAACAAACATTTTCACTTCATACAAAAAAGTAAATGTGTTCGAAAAGTACACACTAATGTGCTGGAATCTGACTAGATTTTTAACTCATAAAAATGTAAATATCCACTCTTTCAAGGTTAGTGTGATCCATATTTACCTGTATGAATTAAAATCATAATAAAATAACAAACTAATTTCAAACCCAACTGTTCCTAACTCTAAACAAAATGGATTGTCTTCAAAAAAAGAAAGAAAAAACAGACAGCACTGTGAATTTTTTTCTCAAGTAACTGTAAATACTGGTGAAAACTCCAGCCTCGCACACTTCTTCTTACTGCCATACATTCCAAAATCTGAAAAATAACTGTGAGGATCCCCTTCCGCCAGGCCAACTTAATCTGCTTTAAAAAGAAACACTATCCCGTAACAGTTTTGAAATTCATTTTTATTTTTCAATTCTGCCAGAACAAATTTCCTAGTGGATGGTCCAGGCGCTTGGTCCCGGGAGAGAGGGAGAGGAAGATGTTCTTGCACCTGATTATCTTCCCCAACACCTACACACAAACCCCAGTGCACATGAACAACTTGGCACCCACTCTCAGTGGGCTGTCGCTTCTCTGCGAGCCCCAGGCTATTTTACCCTAACTGAACCCCCATTAAATGAAGTTCAAAGTTTTGTCCACAGTTTTAACATTCTGAAGAAAATGGGGACACACACACACATAGTAATATCGCAGACATCTCTACTGTGCTATAAAACTGAGATCTCCATCTGCCATAGTGCATGCAATATATCCAGGAAGGAGAATATGTGGTGCTCTCTTCTCTTCACAGTATTTAAACCTCTACTGTAAAAGCAGCTGAAACTATGCCACAAGACTACACTGTCCATCTTAAACCACAGGCAACCTGTTTAGCAAGTCAGGCACTGGAACTTCAATGTTTCTCTTCCCCAAGTTCAACGAGACTGTCAGTGAGACAGTAGACTTGGTCTGCTTTAATTTGCACCAGAAAGCTGGTAAGGAAACATTTAGAGCCATTTATTATGTAGATTAAATATGACATTTTGCAAAATACAGCATATTTTTTTTTTTCTGTTTGCAAATCAAACCAACTGTCTTTACAGGAGCAGATTTACACAGTTGCGGTACACAGCTAAGAGTTCATAAATAAAAGTTCTACTCCGTACACCAGGCCTAGCGATTTCCAAGCCGAGGTGTCCTCTGATCCGCACACACTGGCGGCGTCTTCACCAAAGATGCGTCTCCCGGATCTCTGCAATGATCTGGCTGGCTCGCTGCAGGGCCTGCGCGCGGGGAGACACACACACACAGTTAGCCGACCTTCCCAAAGGCATTTCCCAAGAAACAAGAACGTCCCAGGAAGGGCAACGGCAAAAGTCTTGGTTAAAGCTAGTCCTGTGGTTACAACCTGCAGCAGGGCTGACAAACTGCTCTGAAATCTGCTCTGCCCTGTGCAGAGGATTATGCAATTTTAAAACAGCACAAAACAGAAGGTGCTGAGAAAACCACAGTATTCCTGCCACCAATTCCTTTCTCTAGAGAGGCAAGAGTTAGAAGTTATTTGAAAAGGGAACTCCTGGGGAGAAGCGGAAGGAGCTCAACTCATCCTTTTCACACACTTGGTGCATGACCTGCAGGTTTGTCTTAACATTCTGTGTCTATTCCTACTTCTTCAGTGCTGACAGACTTTCTTCTCCAGGCAGTTCAGTGCAAACAGCTGACTTCTCCTACAGCTGTAGCAGGTTCTGGCACACCATGTAACATACAGATGAATACAGCAGTCCGGATATCTGAGTCCCCAAATTCCCAATATTTGTCTCTGGTACTGACCACAAACCCCAGCGACCTGGGCCAGTTGGGTTTTACATTGCAGTTAAAACACTAATGTGAGTCACTTAAGAGAGCTGCACAACACTTGGCTTCTCTTTAAGGAGGAGCTGCTGATTAAAGCCAAATGTGTCAGTGAAAAGGACACTGGATCAGAGCTTCTTCTACCCCCAAAACACAATTAATTCTCCCCCTCCTGACACGAATGCACAGTCCTCAATCCACATAACACTTTCTGCTCACATATTGTTTCCACTTCCTCCAGTACAGAGAAATAATACACGAGCACTAGAAAAAAAAACCAAAGGAACACACAGCACAGAACAAAGGAACGCAAGCCTACCAAAAGCCAACATTTATACCCTGTTGTCAAGTTAATTAACTGATCCTATTAAGGTCTTGATTTTTAATACCTTTAACATGTCAGCTGCCTCTTTTCTGCGCTGTGCCATGTCCTCGGATTCAGTGAGAAGGTCATCCAACAGCAAGGATTTGTACAGCTGTCCCACCAGCTCGCTCTGGAGAGTGTCCTTCACGTGGTTCACCAGAAAATGCATCACTGCCTTTGGCACGCTGCAAGCACAGAAGGAGAGTTTCTTCGTCAGCAACTCCAAAGCAGCCCTGCTTTTTAACACACAAACTCAAACACACACAAATAAACTAAAAAACCCACACACTGTGGTGTGACCATGCAGCTACCAGACCCCAAACCTACCAGGAATCTACCTTTACTATGAATCACAACTTTGTCTCTCAAATCAAAATGTTGAATTTTCAATCCCACTTTCAGGTGGGACTGCTGTGTTGTAAAGAAAGTGAAAATATAAGGTGCACAAAACACGCTAAGAATAAATCACTTGTTCAGTGGAGGCCACAAACAGCATCTCTGCTGTGCTAGATGTGACAAAAACACTAAATATTTCAGTCTAGAATCTGTTTTCATGGGTGAGAAGGGAGAGTGGCAAAGAAAACTGATTCATCCAGTCTTACTTTGCAAGTGAACTGAAAACTCTCCAATCCCTGGGTCACATGAATGTCACAGAAAGTAAAATGAGGGCAGCTAAAACTGAAAATAAACTTCAAATGTGAAAAATGTGACCCTGCTCTAGGTGACCCTGTGTGAGCAGGGGGGTTGGACTCGATGACCTCTGAGGTCCCTTCCAACCTTCAGCATTCTATGATTCTATGAAAATATATTTGTCTATAAGGGAACCAGTCAGGGACCACTGAGGATTAACAACAATCCATAATTATTACTTAATTATAACACAGAACTGAAACTATTGGAGGAAAAACATGTGGTTTTTTTCAGCTTTCTTCAACAGGCTCTTCTAAAAATCCAGCGAAAAACCCCTTTTTCCCTGCTTAGAAAAGTAAAAGAACGATACAAAACAAAGACAAAACATGTACAAAACATGTACGTGACCCATGAGGTAGCCCGGCATTTGTGTGGTCTCGGAAGTTTTTATTACCTGTCCTGAATGTTCTTCCTGACAATGAGGAAGTAAGATTTAATCAGCCGCTCAATCACTTCGCAGTCTCGCTGCTCCCGGGCGGAAAGCTTGCGCGCCACAGGAACAGGCTGCGGAAAGAGCAACACCTGCCGCTGAGCAGCTCCACTCACACAGGCAAACAAAACTGAGACTGCAAAGACTATCTGGTCTAGTTCTGTATAAAATGATCTATTTCTCTTTTCATCAAATATATTGCTATTCTTCAGAAATCCAATTGGAGGCGATAACATGTCAAAACCCACAGCTTTGAAACTGCAAGGTTAGAGGGCACTATGAATTTTTCTTTAATAAAAAGTTACTGAAGGACATAAGGTTTCCATAGAGTTTTTTTTTAAAATCATCTGTTTTTAATTAATTAGTGCTATTTTAATGATTCTTTTTCTTTAACATGAAAAATATCAACTGTAGCAAAAACAAGCAGGCAACAGTGTTAAGGCATGAGCTGAGATGCACTAGTGTAAAAGGGTGACTTAGACGAGGAGTTCACTGGCACAGGGATTTGTTCAAGGAAGTCGGTTACCCAAACCACAGGCTGAAAGTGGAGGAGGAGGAGTAAAAAAGGAGGAGGAGTAAAAAAGGAGGAGGAGTAAAAAAGGAGGAGGAGTAAAAAAGGAGGAGGAGTAAAAAAGGAGGAGGA